TATATATATATATATATATATATATATATATATATATATATATATATATATATATATTATAATAAAATAAATAATTAAAAAAAAAAAAAATGATCTCCTGAAGGCTTTGCGTGTCTCCTGAGCTTGTGCGCCATGATCTTGCTTTGAGGAGGCGGGATGAGGCGGAAGCTTTCGGGACTAACTCTTAAATGGACGCGTAATGTACTCAAGGTGAATCTAAAAGCAGACTTTAGAAGGAGTGATACGGGGTGTATATATATATATATATATATATATATATATATATATATATTATATATTATATATATATATATATATAACACGCACACACACACAACAAACAGAGACACACAAACAAACACAACACACACAAACACAACACACAGACACAACACAACACACATACACACATACACACACATCCATATATAATGTATCGTTCTGTTCTCGCCATATCAGCCTCGCCGCGCCGCCAGAGCCAGTCGTCTGCCGCAGGCGATGCCCGACCGCAGCGAGGGCGCGAGGGGGGGGGGGCGCTGCCTGCGATAACGGCCCCGTGTCCCCGCGCGAGGCCTCCTCTCGAACCCGCCCTCGTAAAGTTGGCCAAAGACTCCTCGTGTCATTAGGGCCTGTTAAGTTATGACGTATAATGGGGTATGCTAATGATAAGGCCTAAGCAATTTGTGAGTTGTGATTCTACAAAGGATTCGTCTAGATAAGTGAAAACGTTTTCATGGCTCGGTTTTGTCGACAGGGTAAATTTAACCGTTTAAAACAATTTGCAGCGCTTTAAGATTTGCCGATACATACATTTAGATGTCATCATAAATTTAACGAATACTGTATAGGCCTATGTAACAAGTAGTTGTTCCGTATATTATGGTTCCATATTTTTGCCCCCCCCCCCCCCCACCAAAAAAGAAAAAAAAGAAAAAAAAAACATCAAAATGTGCCTAGACGATAATAATCTTAACACAAAAACGGTAAAGTCTTCTTTTTACACCAGTAATTATATATCAAGTTGCTTTTTGGATTCGACTCAAACGATAAATCACTTTTTGCATAATTCCCATGTGAATTTTTACCCCTAAGGGTATTTAATCGAAGACTTTGGTTCAACTAAGGGTTAATTATAACCTACGTTCGTTTACCTTTACTACGACTAAATAGGGCAGACGATTGACCATAAATCTACCCTGCTGTGCCCCTAAAACAATCCTGTAACCATGGGTGATGTAAAAAAAAAAAAACAATAATTACTATGGAATCCTCTTTTTTCTAAGCTTTACGACCCTTTGACTCCCTTTGGCCATAAGCAGGTAACCCTTGACTAAACAGCACTGCCCAATTTAAATCCGACAGATATCACAGGTTATCATATTTTCCGTCTATTACTATTTGAGGGTCGTTTCCCCTAGTAATTGTTTACTAGCCTTTCTCCGCGCGGCAGACCCCAACTACCCATTTCAGACCCTAAATCGTTACTCAAATCGACCGAGCCCTTATAGCCCCTGTGTTTACGTTGCGTTCCAGGCTCCCAGCCCTCTTTCGCCCGGATTGAGGTCTCATGTCAGGGCCGCAAGATTTTTGGTTAAGAAAGCCTCGCGAAAACACATTAAAGAGCAATGAATTCCGAGAAAGCTTACAGAGGGACACCTGATGAAATGAAGACGGGGAGTTAAAGTGGGAAGTGTGGATTAAAGCTTATTCTTATGCCTTCATTTCAGGAGAATAAAAGGAAACGAAAAAATAGAAAAACGATAAAATATACAAAAGAAATATTTACAGATCAGCACTCGATATATCGAATAATGGTGATGAAAGTTGTGATTGTAATTTCATTGTCACCATTGTCGCTAGAATTGTCAGAATAATGATAATTTTCTACAAAAGCAAGAAACAAAATAGAGTGCAATTGCTTAACACAGAAACATGCATAACGTTTGTGAATGAAACCGAATAGCTATCTACAATTACCTGCCACGTAGAGAGAAAGAGAGACAAAGATGTGACAATGACAGAGACAGACAAAAATGGAAAAAAGACAGATAGACGAAGGCAAGATAAAATAAAAGAAACAGGACAGAAATAGACAAACAGACAAAAAAACAAAGACAGAAATAGACAAACAGATAATAGACAACAGATAAAATAAAACAAAGACAGACAAAGGCGAGAACAGATAAAATGGAACAAAGACAATGATAGACAAAACCAGACGAAGGCAAGGACAGATAAAAGTAAACAAAGACAGAGACAGACAAAAGCAAGAACAGATAAAATGGAACAAAGAAACAAACACACATGGACCCAGTGACTAGAAGACCGCGCAGGCAGCCTACTCTTCTGCAAAGGGCTCATCCCTACCTGTAGATGGGCGTCCCGAGGGCCCCGTGGTAGAAGAGGACGAGGTGGGTGGAGTCGTTCTGCAGGGGGGGGTTCATGTCACACGGCAGGAGCACCTTCCCCCCCACCACACCCCAAACCTCCGTCAAGGGAC